ACGGGACCAGTCACTGCACGTCACACTACCACTTTACCGTGTCCTGCTGCTCCCTCCGGGTCTCTCACTGGGTTTCACGTCCCCTCGTTCTCCCGGAACTTGGTGGGCGTGCGACCCCTCGTGAGTCAGCACGTGGGTGTGTGGTTTGAGCCTTCTGGAGAGACTGCGGTGTGTGTTGACGGAGACTCTTACCAGCCTCTTGCTACCTTTACTGCTGAGCCGGGCTCGGGTCTCTACACTCTTCACACTGGCCCGCGTGCGCCGCAGCAGCAGCCGCAGCAGCAGCCGCAGCCGCAGCAGCAGCAGCAGCAGCAGCAGCAGCAGCAGCAGCAGCAGCACCAGCGGCCGCACCAGCAGCCCCCCCTACTGCCACTGCCCCCGGTCCCCCCCCCCGTTCGGGTCCCCGCGTCTCACCAGGTTGCTTCGTCCCCCCAGGTGTCTGTGTCGTGTCTGGTTCCTACGTCTGTTCCAGTCGCTGCGTCGTGCTCCTGCCGGTCGCTTGCCCACCCCACCGTTCTGTGGCACCACCGGATGGGGCACCCGTCCCTTCCTCGTCTGCGCGCTATGTCCAGTCAGCGTCTTGTCCTAGGCCTCCCACGTGTCTTGCCGTCGCTGCCGCCTTCGCTTGCGCCGCCGTGTGGTCCCTGCGTCGAGGGTCGGCTGCGCGCCACCCCTCACTCCTCCTCCCTACGTCCGGCCACCGAGCCTTTTGAGACGCTTCACTTGGACGTCTGGGGCCCCGCCCCTCGTCTAGGCCCTGAGCGTGAGCGTTACTTTCTGGTGGTCGTTGACGACTTCTCCCGCTACACCACAGTGTTCCCTCTGGCGAAGAAGTCTGAGGTGACTTCTACGCTGATCAGGTGGTTGCTCACCACCGAGGACACTCGTGGTCGTCGTGTCAGCTGTCTCCACTCCGACCGTGGGGGTGAGTTTCGCTCCGGCATTCTCGCTGGATTCTGTCGCGAGCAGGGCATTCGTCAGTCCTGGACGCTTCCAGAGTCCCCACAGCAGAATGGGGTTGCTGAGCGCCGCATAGGCCTGGTCATGGAGATCGCCCGCACCTCCCTGACTCATGCCTGTGCCCCCCATTTTCTGTGGCCCTACGCGGTCAGGTACGCCGCGCACCAGCTGAACCTCTGGCCACGTGTCTCTCGACCAGAGGTGTCACCGACCAGTCTTTGGACAGGGTCCCCTGGTGTTGCGTCGCGGTTTCGCGTCTGGGGGTGCTTGGCTCTTGTCCGCGACACCTCCGCGGACAAGCTCTCACCTCGTGCCGTCCCCTGTGTCTTCCTTGGTTTTCCTGAGGACTCCTCTGACTTCACCTTTTACCACCCTCCCTCTCACCGGTTCTTTGACTCCCGTGACGTCCGTTTCGAGGAGTCCACTCCGTACTACGTCAGGTACCCCAGTCGAGGTCTCCCGGTTCCTCCTTCCCCCTTCTTCCTGACTGCAGCCCCCCCTCCTGCTCCCCCGGTACAGCCTCCCCCCCCTGGTCCAGCCCCGTCAGGTGTGTCCCAGGCTACCCCTCCTCCTTCGGTAGCCCCTCCGGTACAGCCTCCCTCCCCACAGTCCTCCTCGCAGCGTGCCGCTGGTGCTAGCTCTCGAGAGGTTGGTGCTGCGCCTGTTCCTGTACCGGTTTCTGGTTCTTGGGGTGCTGGAGTTGGAGCTGGAGTTGGTGCTGGAGTTGGCACTGGAGTTTCTGGTTCTGGGGGTGCTGGAGTTGGAGCTGGAGTTGGAGCTGGAGTTTCTGGTTCTGGAGTTGGAGCTGTCCCGGTGGGTGCGGAGGACTCTTGTCGTCCGGGAGCTGGTGCTGGTCGCGCGGCCACTGGGGGTGCTGCGTCTGGGGGTGAGGGTGCGCCTCCTTCGGGTTCAGGTGAGCCTGGGTCTGGAGCTGGTGTTAGTGCTGCCTCTGGGGGTGGTGCGCCTAGTTCTTCTGGGGTGGACTCTGGAGCTGCCGCTGCTTCGGACGCTACTCCACCCCCCCACCCCTACCCGACTAGGCACCAGGCTCGTGTTCGCCGTGCCCGTGACGAGCAGCTTGCGTTGGAGAGAGAGGAGAGGGAGTTACAGCGGCTGGAGGAGCAGCAGCAGCAGCTGGAGCCGCAGGAGCAGCAGCAGCAGCAGCTGGACCCGCAGGAGCAGCAGTCCCAGCAGCAGCCGCTTCCGCAGCAGCAGCAGTCGCAGCAGCAGCAGCAGCAGCAGCCGCTTCCTCCTCCTGTCTCGGGTCTTCGGACCCTTGGTCTCCCCTCCCCTTCTCCTCCCTCCTCCGCCTCTCCTCCTGTCTACGGTCCCACGTTTCCTCCTCCTGACTCCTCCCCCGCTGTTTTCCCCAGTTCTCCGCCTTTGTCCTCTCCTCCTCCATCTCGTTCTTGGGCTACTCGTCGCTCCCCTCGTGCTCGTCCCTCGTCTCCTGTTCCCTTCACTGACCTTCGTACTGCTTTCCTTCTTACTAGTCCACCTCGTCCGTCTCAGTCTGTGCTTCCGTCTCCTCCTGAGTCGGCCCTCACTGTGTCGCTCCCTACTCCTGTCACTGACTACTACCGCACGTACCGTCCTGTTCTCTCTCGTGTTCTCGCCTCTCTTGTTACTCACCCTCGTGTCTCTGTGTCCTCTGTGTCCGCTCTTACTGCCGCGGTTACTGACTTTGCCTCTACCCGCCGCCTTGACTACGCCACCACGCTTGTGACTGCTCCTCCTACCAGTCCTCTGGTCGTCGGGGGTGTGTCTGCCCTTGGCTGTGACGCCCTAGAGGACAGGCAGTTTGAGCTAGAGTTCCTGGCGGCCGCTTCCCCTCATCTCTGTGCCATGCTCCTCGCCCCTGAGGGTGACCCCGACGCCCTTGACATTCCGACTCCTCGCACTTACGCTGAGGCAGTGTCAGGGCCTTGGGCCTCTCAGTGGAGAGCTGCCATGGACGCAGAGATGGCCTCCTACAGATCCACAGGCACCTACGTCGATGAGGTTCCCCCCCCTGGGGCGAACGTAGTCGACGGCATGTGGATCTACAGGGTGAAGCGGCCACCGGGATCTCCCCCGATCTTCAAGGCGCGCTACGTGGCTAGAGGTTTCAGTCAGCGCGAGGGAGTTGACTTCTTTCAGACCTTCGCACCTACCCCGAAGATGACCACTCTTCGGGTGTTACTACACGTAGCAGCACAGAGAGACTACGAGTTACACTCTCTCGACTTCTCCACTGCTTTCCTTCAGGGCAGCCTACACGAGGAGGTCTGGTTGCGTCGTCCCTCGGCCTTCACTGGCACTTTCCCTCCTGGGACCCAGTGGAGGCTGAGGCGACCTGTTTACGGTCTTCGCCAGGCCCCTCGTGAGTGGCACGACACTCTGCGTTCTACCCTCTCTGACCTTGGGTTCCAGCCGTCTTCTGCCGACCCGTCGTTGTTCGTTCGTCGTGGCTCCACACCGTTCTTTGTTCTGGTCTACGTCGACGACCTCGTTTTCGCCACTCCGGACAGGGTTGCTTTGGCAGACGTGAAGTCCGAACTGCAGAAGAGACACACGTGCACTGATCTTGGTGAGCTGCGCCACTACCTTGGCCTGCAGATCACCAGGGACAGAGCCGCTCGCACCATTACACTCTCACAGTCACACATGGTGCAGCAGGTCCTTCAGCGGTTCGGGCTTCAGCACTCCACCGTACAGCGCACACCTCTCGCTGTTGACCACAGACTCACTGGTCCCTTTCCTGACGAGCCGTTTGAGCCTAGTGGTCCCTACGCAGAGCTTGTGGGTTGCCTCATGTACCTGATGACTTGTACTCGCCCGGACCTCGCCTTCCCTCTCAGCATCCTTGCACGCTTTGTTGCGCCAGGGAGACACCGTCCTGTTCACTGGACGGCAGCTGTGAGGGTGGCGAAGTACCTAGCGACTACATCAGGCGTGGGGCTAGTTCTTGGAGGGCAGCAGTCTGTCGTACTCACTGGTCACTGTGACTCCTCTTACGCTGACGACGCTGAGACTCACAGGTCTACTCAGGGGTACTGTTTCAGTCTGGGTTCTGGAGCTGTTTCCTGGCGTTCCACGCGCTCCTCTTCTGTCTCGACCTCTACAGCTGAGGCTGAGATTTACGCTGGTGCCATGGCGGCACAGGAGTTGCGGTGGTTGACCTTCTTGCTCGCCGACCTTGGTGAGCGGCCGAGCTCTGCACCGACCTTGTTCACTGACAACAAGGCGTCGATCCTCCTCTGTCGTGAGCCGCGACTGGAGAGCAGAGTGAAGCACATTCACGTCAGGTACTTTCTTCTGCGAGAGTTGCAGAGGCGTGGACAGGCTCGCTTCGAGTTTGTGGAGTTCGAGGCCAACACTGCAGACATCTTCACCAAGGCGCTTCCGCCTCGTGACCACCAGAGGTGTTGTGTGCAGTTAGGCCTTGTTGACACAGGTTCTAGTCATGTGTAGGCTTGAGTTTATTGGCTGCTTCGTCTGTACTCTTGCTATATATACTTGTGATCTCTTGGACTGGCCTTGTGGCCACTGTTGCTTGTGCTCAGAGTGTGTGGTGACGTTGTGATCCACCCTGAGCTTTGTTTTCTTTTGGACTGGTCTTGTGACCGTACTCTTTTTATTTTGCTAGACACCCCTCACTTAGGCTATGGGGGTGTGTCAAATGTTGTAGCCTATAGTGAGGTTTGTCTTAGGGGGTACAGAAGTTAGGGTTTGTCATATGTACCCCAACCAACATCAATGGCATCATCCATTCCTCATTCTGACACGTACCTTACCGTAGTAGTCTCAACTGTTCTCTTCATTTCTTCCGGTCTGCAATAGAGTGGTGCGGTACATTCTGAAGCCACCGAATTCACTTCACAAAAGAAAATCATAAACAAAACACTAGAATACAAGGTACGGTGGAGCAGAGCATCACATACCGTCCCATGCAAATCACCCCTGCATCCACGCGCCTACAGATACCGTAGCTCCAGCAAGCCATTTCTCACCGGAAGAACTTAGAGCACTGGTACGCCCTGACAAACCCATGAAACCAATTATTCATCAACCCCTCCCTTCCGCCGCTTCCCTCCCCCCTCAAGATTTGCAGCTAACCACTGCACTGACTTGCCCGGGTGAGTTGTGACCAGTCGACCAGTCGACTTGCCCCACCGCACTTCAACCCTCGCTGAACCCCTCGAGAGGTCCGCGTTATTGTTATTGAGGGGCCTTGAACCGCGCAGTAACCTTGGAGCTCGGCGGAACACCCAGCCAGGGCAATTCTGCATCAGCAGCAGCAGCAGCAGCAGGCGCGTGGTGGCTTTGGAGGTGCATCACATCCAATGGTGCATCACATCCAATGGTGCATCACCCAACGGCAGCAGTGCATCGACAGCCTCCTCCTTCGCATCCTCCTTCGCCTCCCCCCCCTTACAGCCCCCATTGCTGTTGTGAGTCTTGTCGTGATTGCGATAGTTTCCACGAGCCTGCATGTCCCATTCTGCCCTCAACCGTGCCTGCACCTGCGCCTCCCGTTCACCCTGCAACTGCACCTGCGCCTCCCGTTCACCCTGCAACTGCACCTGCGCCTCCCGTTCACCCTGCAACTGCACCTGCGCCTCCCGTTCAGCCTGCAACTGCTCCTGCGCGGTTTCACTCCTAGTGCTGCTGCCAGCACTGTCATTCACCACCTTCAAACTCCCCTCGTCAACCCCATACCCCCCACCATGCCCCCCACCATGCCCCCCACCATGCCCCCCACCATGCCCCCCACCATGCCCCCCACCATGCCCCCCACCATGCCCCTCACCGTATCCCTCACCATAACTCCCATCCTGCCCCCCTCCTTCATTTAGAACCGTGTAGCTTCCCCTATCATCCCCATCCTCTGCACGCTCCCCACCACGCCCATGCACTCCATACCCCCCACCGTGGCACCCATAATTTCCTTCAGCGTTAGCATGCCCATCCCAGCAGCTTCTCTTGAGGCTCAACGGCTGGTTGGGCCGGTACGTGGTTTGCGAGTGAGCGAGCATGCGCATGCTGTGCCGCTCCAGTATCATCCGGTTGTGAGCGAGGGCAGCAGACAAGGCCGAGCGGAGTGACTTGTGAGGCACGCCCTGTGCGCTGGATGCTGCTGCAGCTGGAGCAGCAGCAACCCCGTGCTGAGGTGCAGCGGACAGGGCAGGGCGCAGTGACTTGTGAGACGGTCTTGGCGCCGCTGCTGCTGCTGCTGCAACAACCCCTTGCTGATGTGTTGAAACCCCTTGCTGAGGCACTGCAAACGAGCGTAGCGGTTCAAGAGACCGGACCGCGGCGTCTTGACATTCCTTTTGAGGCGCCACAAATACGCTTGGTGACTTGCGGTGAGTTGTTGCACGCACAGCTTCATACCCTTCCTGAGACGCCTTTTGAGACGTCTGGAAAAACGCGGCTGGCGGCGCGGCTGGCGACGCGGCTGGCGACGCGGCTGGCTGCGCGTCATATGATGCTTTCTGCGCCGCTTCAAACGAGTGACGCGACTGAAGAGGCACAGGCACAGATGCTGCTGCTGCTGCTGCTGCTGCTGCTGCTGCTGCTGCTGCTGCTGCTGCTGCTGCTGCTGCTGCTGCTGCTGCTGCTGCTGCTGCTGCTGCTGCTGCTGCTGCTGCTGCTGCTACCTGTGCTCCGCACGCTGTGAGTGTTGAGGGATGGGGAGGAGTGGGGCGCGCCAGAGGATGGCAGGCTGCTGTGGGCGGGAAAGAGGCAGGAGAGGGTGAATCAGCGTGGGACGGTTGAGGCAATGCGAGGGTGTTGCTGGCTTGTGCTGTTGTAGCTACAGCGGCAGCTGAGACGGCAGAAGCAGCAACAGCAGGAACTGCAGCAGCAGCATCGCCAACAGCAGCAGTATCAGCAGAATGAGCGGTATTACCAGTCCCAAAAAAATCAGCAGCACCATCCCCACCACCAAAAGCAGGGTCGGACGAACCAGTATCCCCCTGTGCCGCCACCTCCCCCATCCCCATTGTCATTTCCATTGGTAAAGCAGGCACCCACGGAAGCTCATCCCACTGCAAAGCAGGAAAATCCTCCACTGCATCTCCTGGCAGCATCAGCTGCTGCGACCCTGCATTGGCAGGATCATGTTCAGGATCATGTTCAGGATCATGTTCAGGATCATGTTCAGGATCATGTTCAGGATCATGTTCAGGATCATGTTCAGGATCATGTTCAGGATCATGTTCAGGATCATGTTCAGGATCAGGATCCGAATCATGATGACCATCGTCTCCTGCAAGGTCGCTGCAGCACGCAGCGACATCGGCAGCGGACATGCTGGCTGCTTGCTGCAGCTGCAGCTGCCCAGAGGTGCTCGGTTTACCGCGGTAACGCATGCTAGGAGAGCCAGCAGCAGAAGGGTTTTCCATATCAATAAGTTGCACTAGACGGACCCACTCCGTTGCTGCTGCTGATGCTGCTCCTGCCGTGCCTGTTGCCGCTGCTGCGTTGCCTTCCCTTCCCACCACATCCGCTGCCCCACCGCCCTTGTGCTCTGTCCTCTGTTCCTCGATATTTGGTTCTGCTAAAGAGGCCTCAATTTGCGGGTCAGCCGGCTTATTAATGAGGCCGTTTTCAGACTCAGTTTCAGCTTTTATTTCTGCTAATGAAGCTGCTAATTCAGTGACCAGAGCAGCAGCAGCAGCATCAGCACCAGCAGTAACGCCAACGGATTCGGAAAAGACACCACCAATGACAGGAGCTGCTGCTGTGGAATCATCAGCAGCAAGTGCTGCAGCTGCATCCACAAGCGCGGGCGGATCAAGCTGTCTCACAGAGGCAACAGCTGCGTGTGAGCAAGGGGAAGAGCCCACAGCAGCTGCAGAAGAAGCAGGAGCACCAGTAGCGGCGGGGGCGGCAGCGGCAGCAGTGGCGGCGGGATGAGAGGCTACAGACGGGATGAGCGCGGTGACTGGCAAGTCGGCAAGGCAGGGCTTGCACTCCAATAACATCTCGTGGCTATGGAGCACTTGGCGGGAGGCAAGCGTGCTTTTGTAACACGCTGCGGCACGGGCAGCGTCTCGAACACACGCCGCAGCAGCAGTGGCGTCAATAGCAGCAGCAGTGGCGTCAATTGCAGCAGGAGCGGCAGTGGCAGCAGCAACAGGAGGAGGCGCAGCAGCAACAGGAGGAGACACAGCAGCAGGAGGAGGAGGAGCTTTGGCAGCAGCCGTAAGGGCAGCAGCGAACACGGAGGCAGCGGCATGAGAATGCGCCGGCTGAGCCAGCAGCACCGGCAGCACCAGGGTGGATGACGGCAGGAGAGCGGGGTGAACCGCACCCACAGCAGACGCGCCTGCAGCAGATGCAGCAACGGAAAACGTAGCAGCAGCAGAGGCAGCAGTTTCTGTGGATCCAGCAGAAGCAGAAGCAGCAGTTTTGGTGGTGGCTCCTGCTGTGATTGGTGCAGAGGCAGCACAATTAGAAGCAGCGGCAGCAAGTGCAGAGGCAGCAGTTATGGCAGCGCCAGCCATGCTTCTGGGCACTCGGAAGGGACGACGGCTCTGCGCCCTGGGAGGGGTTGCTGCTGCTGCTGGAGCGAACCCAGGAGATGGTGCAGCGACAGCATTGGGTGCAGCAGCAGCAGCAGCAGCAGCGGCAGCAGCAGCAGCAGCAGCAGCAGCAGCAGCAGCAGCAGCAGCAGCAGCAGCAGCAGCAGCAGCAGCAGCAGCAGCAGCAGCAGCAGCAGCAGCAGCAGCAGCAGCAGCAGCAGCAACAATAGATGCAGTAGCAGCAGCAGGTGAAGCAGAGGCAGCGACTGCATTAGGCTGGATGAATGTGGGCATCATAGTGACAGGGAGCGCAGTGATGCTGCTGATGCTGCTGCCTCCTTTCGTCGAAACCGCAAGAGCAGCAGCGCTATCGTTGCTGTCGCTGCTGTCTCTGCTGCCCCCACTGTTACCAAGACCACCACCAGCAGCACCAGCAGCACCAGCATCAGCAGCACAAGCAGCACCAGCTGCCACAAAAGAAGAATCCCCAGACAGCCCGAAAGTCCCCGATCCTCCCGAATGGCTAGATTGCCCGGAGCATGCCAAGTGCCCTGACTGGCCAGAACCAGTGGTGTTGCTGCTGCTACCGGAACCACAGCTTCCAAGTCGTGCTGGCGCTGGCGCTGGTGCTGGTGCTGGTGCTGGTGCTGATGCTACAGCCGGAGCAAGACGGCATGGGAAAGGTGATGCCGTTGCTGCAGCAGGGGTTGCAGCAGCAGAAGCAGCGGCGGCAGTCACAGACAAGGCAGCAGGTGAGAGGGATAAGGCAGGAGATAAGGGGCATGCAGCAGTGGCGGCAGATGCGGGTGCAGCGGCTGACCACAGCCCTCCACCCACCTGCGCAGGGCACTGAGGCACGATCCGCGCCCATGATGCTGCTCCCCCGCCCGCGCCACCGCCGCTGCCAGTGCCAGTGCCACTGATGTTACTGTTAGCGCTGCCGCCAGCACTGCCGCCAGTGCTGCTGCTGCTGAAGTGGTAAACTGGCGAGATAAAAGGCTCGGATTTAACGACTCCATTGCTCACGCTGACAGTGGCAGCGGCAGTGGCGGTGGCAGTGGCGGCGCCAGTGAACGCTGCAGCCGCAGGCATAGGCGCAAGCATACGTAGAGACAAAGGCGCAGGCGCAGGCACACGCGCAGGCATAGGCGCAGGCAGAGGGGCAAGCATAGGCCGCACTGGCGCAGGTGCAATCACAGGCGCAGGCGCAGGCGCAACCACAGGCGCAGGCGCGGGTGCAGGCGCGCGCGCAGACAGGGCCATGCCTCTCGCGATCGTTGCGTACCGCGACTGGGGACGGCCAATGGGCGACTCGAAAAGGGGGAGCGGAGCGACGGGCGTAGCAGGCCGCGACTCGCAGCCGGCAAGGCTGCCAGTGCCCGTGGCCCCTCCCTTCGTCGTTTCCTCCGCTCTTTCCTCCGTGTCCGGATAGTCGGTTTTTACCACTTGCACCGGACGCTGAACACCAGTGCCAACGGACTGCGAGGGGGTGGTAAGATTCCTCCTCGCTGCAGCGCTGCCAAGGCAGCGGCCTGCGCCTCCGCCGTTGCCGTTGCCGCTGCCGTTGCCGTTGCCGTTGCCGTTGCCGGAGCCATTCCCGTTCCCGTTCCCGTTCCGGTTCTCGTTGCCGCTGCCGTTCCCGTTCCCGTTCCCGTTTCCATTCTCGTTTCTGTTCCCGTTCCCGTACCCGTACCCGTTCCCGTTCCCGTTCTCGTCTCTGTTCCCGTTACCGTTCTCGTTCTCGTTCCCGTTCCCGTTCCGGTTTCCGTTCTCGTCGCTGTTCTCGCTCCCGTTCCCGTTTCCGTTCCCATTTCCGTTCCCGTTCCCGTTCCCGTTCCCGTCCCCGTTCCCGTTCCCGTTCCCGTTCCCGTTCCCGTTGCCACTGCCGTTGCCGCCACTGCCAGCCGCCGGGGTCGGCTTCTTCTTCAGTTGCTTGCGCAGGTAGCGGGGGCACTGTCCCTTAGTCCGGTGGTTGTGGGTGTTCATATAACGAGTATGCAGTGTTCTGGGAGTGACCTTGCTGGACGGGTCGATCTCCACTACTTTGCGCGCACGGCATGGTGAGGATTCGGCTCGCGACCACACGCACTTGTAATAGGCCCTGCCACGTGGACGCCAGGGCAACCGGGGTGACGGGGGTAGACGGGGGACGGGGGGGACAGGTGAGCGGCGGAAGGCAGGGAACGAACGTGAAGTGGAGGAAAAACATACAGTGTGATTAGCTCGTCATTGATAGGTGATTCACAGGCGCCGCTGCGGTCGTCTCGAAGCAAAATAAAAAAGGAGAATTGCACGCTTTCCCTGCCAGGAGTACTACTAATAGAAAACATCTCGGAAAAAACCTTGGGAGTTTGGGTGGTTGCGGATGGCGGAACCAATTCAAATGCCATTGAGCCTGTCCAGTAATCTGTACCCTTTTTAAATGTACGACAGTACAGGGTATAGTATTGAATACCTACACGGTGTTTGAAGAAAAATAACTGAAGAAGATAAACGAAAAGCATACATGAAGTCCGACAGATTATCACTAAAAAATGTATCCCTGGCCGATCCGCACACTATTATAATCCCAAGGTAGTACCTTACAATCGGCCGAGACGCCGAGACGCGTTTCTCGCCGTACTTGAGCCAATTAAAGCCGTCGGAATTAACAATGTGCTGGATTCGCCCCGCGCGACGAAATTCACTGTCATGTCCATCGTCTCCATCAGGGAGAAGGTCCTTTTCTGCAGATAACCTCGGCGAGTCGCCTTCGGAAGAAGGCGATACTACTAGTGGCGGCGATTGTAGTAGCACGAGCCGCGACGCGCTCCCAGCATTGTTGCAACAGAAGATATGCTGTATAGAAGTAGCATTGGTAGTACTAGCATTGTCGTGATTTGAGCTTGAACCGTAGTCGTCCATTGAATGAATTGAGCGGGATTTGCGGCACGAGCAGGGAATCGTCACTCACAGAATTTACCAAAGATGCAACATTCTGACGCAACACAAACGCCTTCACGGAGCTGTGAGCTACCTCACGGTGAGTAGGCCATTCTCAGGTACGACTACCCTATCTCTTTCTAGCCACACTCCACGACATACGAGTTTAGGAATCCATTAGCAAACTCCAGGTTACTAGTGCATTTGGCAATTTTACTCGCAAATGCGACACACCCAGAATGTGGGGATGGGAGGGAGAGCTCGGGCTAGCAAAGTTTGGAGGGGGGGTGGGGGGAGGGGAATGGGAGGGGGCAAAATTAGTGATTGGTGGAACTTCGCGATGTGGCACTGATGGCCAATACAGCGAGTGATTGCTGTAGCTCTTCCGAGCCGCTCGGATCGAGCAGGCACAAGTGCACGGCGTCGCTCCGCGAGTGGCGCGAGCGGGATGTCATCTACCGCCAAATGCGGGGAGATTAACGGCAGCGCCCCAGTTTCCAGCCCCTACTGTTTACAAATTACACGTGGAATAGAATGACGTGATTCGGTGAAACCTGGCAGCAAAGAGCCGGCTGAGCCGTCTCGTCGAGGCTCAAGTCCAGAACAAACCTTCGAAGGCTCGGAATTTGGCAGGGTCGAGCGAAGGCCATGTGAAAATGAATCATATCTTCAGGAAAAATTGTGAAATAAGAAACACGAATAGACCGTAAAACACATACACCTAGTCCGCGGTATTTTAACCGGCGCTATCTTAACCACGCGAGGGTACTTCTCCTTTATCAAACTTATTTAGTCGGGTTGTTCCAAGCTTTACGAGGGTAGAATCTAGCATTCCCTTCGCGAGATGACCGCAGAAAAAACTCAGTGAATGCCGAGTGTGACAAATGTCAATCCGTCTATCTTGGAGCACTAAGTGTGAGTTCCGTAGACGGAAGTGCTTTCGGCTGAAGAATCGTAGCCTCGATGACTCGGGGTGCTAATGACATTACCCAGAAACGAACAAAGGGGGTTTGAAAAAACAAAGTTCACCTGGTTAAAATACCGCGGACTAGGTGTAAAGAAAATTTATCAACTTCGAATCCGTTCAAGAATTTCAACCGCCCAGAAGTTCTCTCACGCGATCTGGTGTGGGGAGAAAATGGCATCTCGGCGAAAAGTGCTCCACGCAAAAACAGCAGGACTGACTGGAATCGCGACTGTTGAGATGAATTCGCAATCAGTTATTGTTCGTTAGGCGTCGCGAGACAGGATCAACTCCCGAATCGACGAACCGATGTCTCATTCCGGTTCGATCAAGTCGGGTGGGTGGTTGTGATGGCGGGGTTCAAATATGAATAACCGCCTGAAGTCGGACTGTGTGTCTCAATTGGCTGAACGCATCCCTCTGGTTCTTCCTAGTTTATCTGAAGGGAAAAACTGTTTGTCTGAGAAAACCTTATTGTATAACATTATTATCAAGTACAAGCCATCCGCAGTGTGCTTTCAATATTTACAGCACTGTTTCGAGGTGAACCAGACTGACCTTCCACAGTGCCCGGCTGTACGAGATACAGTTGTTTGCCTTGCCAGCCCAGCTTGCTGCCAACTGTACTGCGCCGAAACTATTTTTTTTCTCAATTCGAGGAAATAATCGCGCGATGCGACAATTTTTGAAATTTTCTTAATCCTGTTGACTACCCTCGCACAGCGTCACCCGATTTTATATATTTCTAAATCCCGTGGACTTCTACACGTGCTTTTGCGATAAATGGAGAACAACTGACAGAGTTTGTGTCGGATTTGTTGAACGACACATATTTTTAAGCCAGGCATGGTTTACCCTAAATACGCAATAACCTTTAGGCTATTTTTTAGGCTACAATGTTATGTAAGGCGTTATATGAATTAAATTCGACATATTATACATTGTTTTTTTATATTGGAAATTTGAAAACAAACTAAACATAAAAATATACTTCCAAAAACTCCTAAAATAATTTATTATAGAGAAATACTCTGTGTTTTTGCTATATAATTTTGCAAAATCGCACTTTTTGATACAAAACGCAAAAACTCTTTGATATGCCTGTGATTTTGTGGGTGGATTTTTTTTTGCTAAATCTGAAAGTTGTAGTCCACGCTATATTTTTGTCTAGTCTGATGCAAGAGTCTAGTTGTCTCATTACGGTTGGTCCTAATATACACTGTAATTGTCTCTACGATTTTGCATTTTTTTTTAATCATTCCAGCCCTGAAGTATCTACGCAACACGTCAGTACGGCCACTGTGTATCATAAATGCAACTGCTCAAAATAACAGCTCGTACTAATGGGTTGCAATTATTGCATCTGGATAGCGTCAGATTTGTTCTCACCCAAAAGCAAGAAATCAAAAGGATCCGAAACTCTTGAATTACGTATACGCAGAGTGACTAAACCATGTTTGCGGGTGTAGAAAAAGTTGCGCTTTATGGGATTGAGAAAAATGAAAAAGGGGGAGCGTGGAGCGAAATTTGAGAGTCGTCGCGTCGCTTAAAGCCCGAGATCAACATGGTAATTTATCAAGTTATGTGAGGTTGAAATAGTGTTGGGGACACCTCGAAAACAAGAATTTCGGCAAAGTCAGTGTAGCGAGAAAGATATTGATGGAGGAGGGGGAAAGGGGTTTCGCCAAACGTGACGTGATAGTGTGCAGCTTGTCAAACTCTGCGACTGCAAGGAGTGTCGCAAGGACTTCCTCAGCCAATCAGATTCAAGGAGGGGAGAAAGTCCACGCACAATGCAACTACCAGCAAAAACGAAAACGGGAAGCACCAACAACCTCCGAACACCCCGATCATCCAAGTAAGCTAACTACTCACGATTGAAACAGCCGAGGAGCTAAAAACAATAGAACATCCAAACGTAATTGACGTCCCAGAACAAGCACATGCGGGGTCGCAGGAAGGGACGTTCAGAAGAGCGCGACATTGCTCGCTGGCCTGGTACTGGCGATAGGCATTAGCAAATAGAAAGTGTGACACCGATTGAGTAGGCTTTCATAGTTGCCGTCACTCATTGCGCCTGTGCGTAAGAGTGTAAGTCCGTTCCCCTATGAGCTACAGATTTTGTCGCACGGGAGCAAGTCACTGTGCGACAGTGCATCGTGCGACTCGCTGATGCTGTCAGCGAGTTCGTTATCCACTCGCTTCAAATTCTTACTGCGAAGCAGCATACAACCTTCACGGACGAGCAGCGAGAAGGTTGTATGCTGACGGCAGGTCGACACGGGGACTGCGGAAGGCGGAGAGGGAGGGGAGAGGCGGAGCACAGACTGCTTCGGTGGGGGAAATCGGTTCTTATCGCGCGATAAGAGAGCTGTCCACTGGCGCAACTTGTGGCAGACGCAACGCCAGACGGCGGAGGAGAGGAGGAGCAGATACGGGGGGTGGAAGGGGGAAAGGGGGAAAAAGAAAATTGGGGCTTGGCCCGCTTCTCATCGCACTGAGGCGTGCGCAGCTCAAGGACAGAGCGGAATGAGGCGCGTGGTGGGGATGACTCATGAGGCGGGTGGTGGGGATGAGGCGCGTGGTGGGGATGAGGCGCGGAAGGGGATGAGGCACGGACCCCCCTTGCTTCCCCTCCTTTCCCCCCCTTGCTCACCCCTCCTTTCCCCCCATGCTTCCCCTCCTTTTCCCCCTTGCTTCCCCTCCTCTCCCCCTCTGATTCCCCTCCTTCCCCCCAATGCTTCCCCTCCTTTTCCCCCCTGCTTCCCCTCCTTTCCCCCCTTGCTCACCCCTCCTTTCCCCCCTTGCTCACCCCTCCTTTCCCCCCCTGCTTCCCCTCCTTTCCCCCCCTGCTTCCCCTCCTTTCCCCCCCTGCTTCCCCCCATGCTAGCCCCCTGTTCCCTCTCTGCTAGCCCCTCGTTTCCCCCCTGTTAGCCCCCTCTTCCCTCCCTTCTAGCCCCTTCTTCCCTCCCTCGTCCAATCTCCTCACTTGCTCCCTTCCTCTCTACCGCCCTTCCCCCCTTCCTCTCTGTCTCGCCTTTCCTCCCTTGCCTCCCCTCATTTACTTTACCCCCTTTCTTCCCCTCATTTTCCCCCCTGCTTCCCCCTCATTTCCCCCCCTGCTTCCCCTCATTCTCCCCCCTGCTGTCCATTATGCTTCCCCCTTGCTTACTCTACCTTTCCTCGTGCTCACCAACCTCCCCCCTACTCACCCCTCCTTCCTCTCCAGTTTACCCTCTGTTTCTCCTCTCCTTTCTGGTTTTTGGGCCTTGACAGCACAACAGAAATGACATCCAACCGTCCTGTTCTTGTTCTTGAGTGGTGCTCTTTGCAGCTTGGTCGAACCAAATAAGTAGAGGGGGGCTCCTGCTTGTTTGTGGCATTATTGTATCAATCAAACAATCCTTTGCATATTACCGTACATCAGTTAATTCAGGACGTTCTGTGCATGCAAAATTTGATACGTAGATAACATCTGGACCTTGCAGTGGTACATTCTTTTGCATCTCTGGATAAAGCATTGTTACATGATGCAACTACGCATAGCATTCGGGTATGCAACTTGTAAAATATGTCCTCTGCTCTAACTTTCTTGTGCTTGCTGCTGCGCCCTTACGCAGCCAAACTCCTCTGAGCCCCAACTACCAGTCCTGCTTGACAAAGGGACGAGAGATGGGAAGACAAGGTGGGAAGGCAGGAAACAGAAGGTGAGGCAAGCAGAAGGTGAGGCAAGCGAGGCATGCAGGGGGGAAAACCAGGAAAGGAAGAAGGGGAACAGAGTGCAACGATGGGAAACGGAGGGGATTGGAGTGGGCACACACCTCGTGATGGGAGACTAGGTTTTCTTCGGGAGAGGGCAAATGGGAAAAGGCAGGAAGGATACCCTCCCCCCCTCCGTCCCTCCCCCCTCTGTCCCCCTCCTCTGTCCCTTCCCCTCTGTCCTTTCCCCCTCCTTTCCCTCCCCCTCTGTTTTCCCCCACCTCTGGCACTCCCCCCATCGATCCCTCCCCCCCTCTGTCCCTCCCCCTCTGTCCCTCCCCTTCTGTCCATTCCCCCCTCTGTCCCTCCCCCCATCTGTCCCTCCCCCCCTGTCTCTCCTCCTCTGTCCCATCCCCTCGGAGAGAATGAGGGAGGAAGTGCAGGTTGGAAAGAGAGACGGAGAGAAAGGGTGGGAAGGAGAGCGAGTGAGAGGAGTAAGTGCGAGTGGGGGAAAGGGAGAAATGGAGAAAGGGAGAGAAAAAGAGAAATGCTGCACAGAGAGAAAGAGAGGGTTAAGGGGAGGATGGAAGGAGGGATATATGTGGGTTGCACGGAGGGCGGTCTGTGGGGGTGGGGGGAATGCCGGTGGTGTGTGCGGGGAAAATGGAGGCATGGGATTGTGGAGAGGGAAGGAGCAGGAGCAGGTGGGAGTGGAGACAAAGGGTGTGCCCGAGAGAGGAGGGGTACACGGGTGGGAGAGGAGAGGCACATGGGGAAAGCGATGGCTCACCTGGTGTGTGGCGCTCACCTATCTGTGGATGGGGGTAAACATGGCGGAGGGTGGGGGGAAGCAGGGCAGAGGGAGGGGGAATGCATGGCAGAAGGAGGGGGGAAGCAGGGCAGAGGGAGGGGGGAAGCAGGGCAGAGGGAGGGGGGAAACAGGGAGGAGGGAGGGGGGAAGCAGGGAGGAGGGAGGGAGGAAGCAGGGAGGAGGGAGGGGGGAAGCAGGGAGGAGGGAGGGGGGAAGCAGGGCGGAGGGAGGGAGGAAGCAGGGAGGAGGGAGTGGGGAAGCAGGTGAGGCAGGGGAGAATAGATTGGGGGGTAAATAGAGCTGGTGCCCCTCCCCCTCTGTACCTCCCCCTCTCTCCTTCCCCTTCTGTCTCTCCCCCTCGGTCCTCCCCCCTCTGTCTCTCCCCCTCTGTCTTTCCCCCTCCATCTCTCCCCCTCTGTCCTCCCCCTCTGTCCTTCCCCTTCTGTCTCTCCCCCTCGGTCCTCCCCCCTCTGTCTCTCCCCCTCTGTCTTTCCCCCTCCATCTCTCCCCCTCTGTCCTCCCCCCTGTTCCTTCCCCATCTGTCTCTCCCCATCTGTCCTTCTTCCTATCCCCCTTGTCCTTTCCCCTCTATCCGAGGGAAGGAAGGAGAGAGATAGAGGGTGGGAAGGAAGGAGAGGGAGAAAGGGAGAGTCGTTATTCGGGAAAGAGCGAGATAGCGAAAGAGGGAGGAAGAGAGGGAGGAGAGGGAGAAAGGCAAGAGAGCGAGAGAGGGAAGAGAGGGAGAGGGAGAGAGGGACAGAGGGAGAAAGGTAGAGAGCAAGGTAGAGAGGGACGGATGGAGAGAGGAAGAGAGGGGAGAGGGAGAGATGGAGGGAGGAAGAGAGGGAGGGTGGACAGAATTTACTGGGGGGAATCGTATATGGGGGGGGGATGAAGGCGGGTATGGGGAAGCGCGCGCGAAAGGGAGAGGCGGGGGCGACGAGGAGAAGCGCGTGGGAAATAAAGAGGCGGGGGCGACGGGAATGTGCGCGCGCCAAATAAAGAGGTGGGGGCGACGAGGAGAAGGCACACCGAAATAAAGAGGCGAGGGCGACGAGGAGCAGCGCGTGCGACGAGGGGTAGGATTGGGGCTGCAGGTGTTGCACTTTCGGGAGACAAGGACTCTTTTTGCCTACAACCGCGACGAGCGGAAACGAGGGTTGGGGTAGGAAGCGAGTGTGACGAGGGTATAGCGCGGGCGACGAGAGGAAGCGCGACGGTGGGAAGCGCGGGCGACGAGGGGATGCGCGGGTGACGTGTGGTAGATAGCGTGAACCTCGCAAGTGTGGGCGACGAGAAGAAGCGCGCGCAACGCTTCCTTACGCAAATTGAACGAGGGTAACCCGCCATCTACATCCTATACTGGGCAAGTATGGCAACTCATGCCATTTACCTACATCTGCGTGTCGTTCGCTAGCACGGACGTTGCGTATCTAGCTTGCGACGCTGATACGGTTATACCGTGTTTGGCTCCGAAGGTGTGCTGCTCTTCTATTGGCAAGACATCGTGAGTGACTAGATTTGTTTGGAAAAAGACGCCTCTACCTGAACTGGCTTTTTTCCCCTGGCGGCGCGTTTCCTAGTTACGTGCCTAATCTAGTTAGTAGTATTACTTGGTCGTCAAGTTATGTGAGAGGTGAGCACGGCAACCTTGTGGGCGATGTTCGGATCTGTTGTGCGACTGGGCACAGAAACCAATCAGGAGCGACCGTCGCAAGAAGTTTTCCCTGGGTCGCGCGAGTTCTTTCAAACTAAAGAGGGTAACCCTGTTTTTGGCGACTTCAAGTTCAAGAATTTTGAACTTGAAAAATACCATGGTGTACTTGGGCTTTAATTATTTCCAATTCGAGTGACGGCAACTTGGTTCCTTCAATAGCCAATAACCAGGGCCTCAGAAGTCAGCGAAAAAAGGCTGATTTAGGGTCTGGACGCTGATTTCCCAGACATATGGCTGATGTGTTGGCTGATAATTCAGTTTTTATTTTAATTGTGTTGGCTGATTCTTCAGGTTTTTTTTTTTTTTAAGTATTGGCTGATTTTCCAGCGTTTTTTTACAAGTGTCCGCTGATTGATCAGACTTGTAACGAGAGTGTAGGCTGAACTCACGCTATTACAGATTCGTGCCGGAGCCGTGTTTTTCGGCTGTCCATGTACATCCACCGTCAATCACGCAAAAGTAGCCACGTACAGCGCCGACGCGGCGGGAAAACGAATTTCCCCGACGAGTCGGTTGCTTCGTTGTCACCGACAGAATGCTTCAATTGATGTGATTGGTTGTTTAACCAATCACATCCCTTATGCGCCATTCACCAACCACCAGGGCAGCACAGCACAGCACCTGCTAAACTTAATGAACAAAGTGCTTAAACATAGATCAGCCTGCATTTTTTAGTGAGGCTGATTAGTCAGCGTTTTTTTAGGTGACTTGTCTGAAAAATCAGATTTTTTTTTGAACCAACTCTGATTGATCAGCCTAGCGTAGCCTGGTAAGGCTGACGTCTCAGCCAAGCTAAAAACGAATCTGAGGCCCTGCCAATAACGAACTCATAATTCGTTTGCAAAGAAACGGCTGGCCGTAACGAGCATGTACACCTGATGCCTATTTCAGTCGCGTTCCCCATCTTTCCCTGTGCTTTTCTCTCGTGCAAGTCCTCACTAGGGGCAAAATGGGACTGAATGTAGAACAGTCGCCATAATTGTGGGTAGCCCAGCGTGTTTTGTCTGGAAACTCGATTAACTTATCTTGGGCCAGTAACGAGCGGGCCGTTGGCTGTTAATGTCGACCATTAGGCGTATGGAGTGGAAGTGGGCGTGTTCAAAGTGGGCAGTTGAGTGAGCATCAAGGTATAATTAAGTTTTGTTTTGTTGTAATTTGATAAGTCTCAATAATGAGCTGAAGGCGTATTCCTGAGATCGTGTCATCCGATGTTGGTGTCATCCGAAAATTTTGGAACTCACGCGATTGGCAAAAAAATCAAAACGGGCCAATCACATGCGTTCCAAAGTATTCGGATGACGCCAACACCAAATGACACAAGCTCAAGAATACACCCTTATTATCACATTTTGTCAATAGGTGTTACCAGTGCGATTGAACGGACGCCTAAGGATGGTACAAAATAATCACAATGTGAGCGAACATCAAATAGCAAAAGTTGCAAGCACTTCTGTGAACTAGCTTATGCACTATTGGGAATGATGCTCTTGCTAGCCCCGAAACTTAGTTTAAGATCCACCTTAGTTTAAGATTGCAAGGTTTGTTAAAAGTAAGTGCGAAGTGGCGGGTGAAGAACACTTGAGTGTTGTACACGGAAGGCAAGGACTCGGGAAAAATCATTGCACTAAGCTATCACGAACATACATTCAATGGGCGAATCCACCATAAGCAGTCATAACAACTTCACCCGAAGCTGCTCTCTCCACTTCCAACTTCACCTGGGGGGTGAAATGTTTTTTCCGAGATCGAAAAAGCTTCTCATGGGCCTGGAACCTTCCAAGACTGTGGTGCCAGAGGAGAGACGGGTGCGTGAGTCACCGGCACGACGTGCAGACACAACGTGCAGTGTGTACAGGTCAGACCCAGGTCTCCGAGTGAACGTGGCGAGATGGTCGCCAGTAACTGAATTCGTACAGATCGCCACGCTCGCCTCCATGAGTGGCGGTAGTGACCAAATGATCATGGAGGACAGCGTTACTCACCAAGTTCGTAGCGAACGAAGGGAGGTGGAAACCTGTGAGGGAACCAATGGGGACTACCAGACACAGGAGAACAATAGTACCTCGTGCAATGACTGGTCTAGAGGAGGGGCCGGTCAGAGTGACAGGGACAAGTGTGGTAAGTGGTGTGACTGTGGTGCAGGCGCGGAAGAAGCAGCGAGACGCGCATGGGTCTAGCGTGAAAGGTGAGCAAAGACTCCGCCGGAACTGCACCCGTGCTAACAGGCCCACAAGCACCTAGTCTAGTAGCCTCTACACCACCAGGGATGCGTCGCTGGGACATCCACTCTCGAACCTGCTACGATGAGAGGGTCTCCGACTGATGCTGCTCCCGTTGCTGTCCACCCCAGGAACCTCCGCCTCCTCAAGTGTTACCACATGTACTAGCAGACGCACACGTATCTACACTCGCCTCCTCGACCAGTTGCTGCACCTCCTCTAACAACGGACAACGTTGCAGCAGTGGGCGGGTGGCAGGAGAGAGGGAGGAGTAGTGTCTGACCATAACATCGTAAAAACTCTGGTCGACGTCACCTAACAAAATTGGGCCCTCTGGTCGACTAGCATGTGAGCTCGGACAGCAAGCTGGGCGATAGCGTTGCTCTCCTTCGACTGCATGTTGGCAACGTGGTCTGCCCGGTACCGCTGCTGCATGCCTTCGCCAGCATCAGCAGCGAGCCCAGTGGGAGTCGGGGAGGGTCTGAAGGGGCCCCGACGTGTGTTCGTGCTCGTCCCTCTCATGCTCATTGTGTTCGCCCTCCTCCTGTTCCCAGTGAGCACACTATGGCACTTCGTCCTTCTTTTGTTGCACATCGTCCTGTTCTGCTGTCTCCTCCTGAGTCCTCTCCCCCCCATGTTCCTGGCCCTCAGTCTGACCTTGTTCGTGCTGCTATGTCAAACATTATATTTGTTGTGCTTGTTTAGGCTACAGTGGGTTAGCCTATAGGGGGTACACAATTCTAGGGTTAGGTACTTGTACTGATTTCACTGTTAGTTCAATCATTCCTGTTCGTTCATTTCAACATGGTATAGAGCAGGTCCTTCGCTAGGACCGTTTTTTTTTAAGGGCCCACCACTACCTACCTACCTACCTACCTAACTGCGCCCTAGGGCGCCTCGTTCTTCACGGCCCCCTAAGGCCCCGTGACCCGCGACCCGCCCCTTAGCGACCTGCGCGCCGCCCCTTAAGGCCCTGTCGGCCCACGCGCTCGCCCCTTACGGCCCCGTCGGTCCCGCGCTCACCTCCCTAGAGGCCCCCGTCGGCCCCGCACTCGCCCCTAGAGGCCCCTTACGGCCCCGCGCTCGCCCCTACAGGCCCCAAACGGCCCCGCGCTCGCCCTTAGCGGCCCCTTACGGCCCCGCGCTCGCCTCTAGAGGCCCCGAACGGCCCCGCGCTCGGCCCTAGAGGCCCCAAACGGCCCGTGACCGCCACAGCCCCTCCAGGACCGAGCCGAGCCGCGCGACCCGAACCGAGCCGCCCAGTCCGAGCTGAGCCGCGCGACCCGAACCGAACCGCGCCGCCCTACCCGAGCCGCGCCGCCCTACCTGAACAGAACCGCGCCGCGCGTACTGTCCGAGCCGCCCTACCTGTCTCACCCTCCTACTCCTACTGCTGCTCCTACTGCTCCTATGGCTAGCCCACCTGTGCTAGCTTTCGATGCTAAGGGCCGCCCAGTGAAGTTTGACACCTGGCTAGATGACCTGCACCTCTATCTACAGCTCACTGCCAAGGACGACATCTCACTGTACGACCACGCCCTAGGCCATGTCACTGCCCCTGCTGCTACTGCTGACAGCACTGCCCGCTCACAGTGGCAGACTCGTGACGCCCACGCT